AAAGAAGACAGATAACTTGGAAGAAGAAAAAAAAAAGCAGAGACGAATCTGGTAATATAATGAGATGAGCTGGAGCGAGAAATGAGGTGAGATGAAGTGAGAAAGGAAGTATAGAGAGACAGCGAAGGGGAAGAAGAAAGTGGGCGAGGGGAAAAGTCCTCAAGAAACTTAGCGGGAAGGAAGGATTTCAAAATCGTGGAGCGGATTAACAGAAAGCCGGGAATGATCGCTTTTGGTCGGGGGAAGAGAGGGTGTGGAGTAGAGGGGGGGGGGGGGAGGAACACGGATGATTGTGGAGTGGGAGACAGTGGGAGAATGGAAGAGAGAGAGAGAGACAGAGAGAGATTCTATGTCTGTTTGTCTGATTCTCTCTCTCTCTCTCTCTCTCTCCTCCTCTCTCTCTCCTCTCTCCTCTCTCTCTCTCTCTCTCTCTCTCTCTCTCTCTCTCTCTCTCTCTCTCTCTCTTCCCTCCCTCCCCTCTCTCCCTCTCTCCTCCTCTCTCTCTTTTCTCTCCCCCCCTACCTCTCTCTCCCCCTCCCTCTCTCTCTCTCTCCCCCTCTCCTCCTCTCCTCCTCCTCCTGGTAGCCTCAGTAAAAGACATCACGAGCGAGTGGAGAGCTAGAGTTTTTGTGACGAGAAAAGTTAAACAAGAAATTTATATATCAGCACGGCATCACGTATACCGTTTTCCTTTACACTGTCATTCCTCCCTTCTTTTCTTCCTCCCTTCACTCTTTTCCTCCTCCCTACCCTTGTTCCTCCTCCCTCATCTTTTTGTCTCCTCTCCTCCTCCTGATCCTCACGTCCTTGTCTCCCTCCCTCCCTCACTCCTTTTCGCCCTCCACCCCTCTCCCCCAACCTCCAAAACCAGACCTGTTTTTACGTGTCCCGCATATAGGTTGATGTCCCTTGGGGGGTGGGGGTGGAGGTGGCGGAAGAAAAGGAAAGTGGGGGAAGAGGGGAGGGTGGAAGATAAAGATTTTTTGGGAAGAGTTGGTGGGTTTGACGTCTTTATCGCTGATGATTTGAAGTTTTGTGTCCTTTTATCTGTATTCTATTTTTATATTTATTTATTTTATATATATATATATATATATATATATATATATATATATATATATATATTTTTTTTTTTTTTTTAGTTTTAGATGTGTCTTTTGGTTTTGTTGGATAGTTTACCGGGTCTCGTTTTTATTGTATTTTATGTTTCTTTTATCCCTTCGAAGCGGAAGGTAGCAGCAGCGTCCTTGTCGAAGGGTAGTTTCCATAATAGGGAAAATACGCATCTATATTTTATAGTACTAACGAGAGAAGAGAAGATGGGGAGATAAAGAAAGAGAAGAAGAGAACTGGAGGCAGAAGAGGAGGAGGGAGGTAGAATGGATGGGGAGGGGGATGTTGAAGGGAAGGGGGGTAGGATGGAGGTGGAGAGGAAGAGGGGAGGGAGAAATAGAAGAGGAGGTGGAGGAGAGAGAGATCGAATGGGTCAAGGGAGAGGAAGGGAAGTAGGGAGGCAGTGAAGAGGAAGAGAGGGAAACAGAGAGGAAGTTGGAGGAAGAGATGGAAAGCAGAGAGGAAATGGAAAAGAAGAGAATGAAACAAAGAGAGGAAGGGGAGGGAATCAGAGCAGGAAGTGGAAGGGGAAGAGATACAAAGCAGAGAGGAAGTGGAAAGGAATCGAAGGGGAATAGAGGGGAATTAGAAGGGAAGAAGAGCGAAAGTTAAAAGGAAAAGAAGGGAAGCAGGGAGAAATTGGAAAGGAAAAGAAGGAAGCGAGAGGAAGTGGAAAGGAAGAGAGGGGAAACAGGGAAGAGTAGAAGGGAAAAGAAGGGAAGCAGACATATAGTGTGTAAGGAAGAGAAGGGAAACAGAACAGACGCGGGGATGAATAGGATGGAAAACAGACAGAAGTGGAAACGGAAGCAGAAAGGGAAACAGACAGGAAGCGAAATGAGTAGATGGAAAGAACAGAAGTGGAAGGAAGAGAAGGGAAGGCAGAGAGGGAAGCGAAAATGAATAGATGGAAAACAGACAAATGAAAAGGAAGAGAAGGCAGCAAAGAGAGGAAGGGAAAGGAAAGAGAAGAGAGGATAACAGCGTGTAAAAGAGGGATAGTAACAACGGGGCCCCCGGAGATCACGGTCACGATTTCACGGTCGAGGTAATGGCAGGTTGCCATGACGATATTGCGGTCAGTGTTGCAATGTTGGCTCGTAGGTACAATGAGGGGCGGGGGGCGAGGGGCGAGGCCGAGGGGTGGGAGGTGAATCCGAGGTTGGGTGGGGTGGGGGGGGGGGGGAGACGGCCGCTGCTCGGTGGAAGGGATGAGGGGTGGGAAGAGGGGGGAGAAGAGGGGGGGTGAATCGGCAATTTGCAGCGAATTTGTGCTAAAATGCAAGAGGTGGTGGAGGTCACTGACTCATACTACGGCGCGCCGGGTCGTCTTGTGCAACATTCTGGCAAGACTGGAGGGGGTTGCTGTGGGTGGGGGTTGGGTCGGGTGTGGGGGGGGTGTCGATAGTCATTTCACGCGGTTAATGATCCCTCGGTCATGTGCAAGGTATATTACTTACGGGGGTTGGAAATTCCTCTCTTGTCGAATGGGACGATGGAACGCCAAGGGGATCGAACGGCTCGAACAACATCCTGTGCAATGGGGTTATATATACGTACGTATATAGGTTAGTAGTGATATAGATGGATAGATGAATAGGTAATGGTAGGTAATAATAGAATAGATAGATAGATAGATATAGATAGATAGATAGAGTATAGGTATGTAGATAGATAGATAGGATGGGGATAGATCAAAGGCCATACACGCACAAAACACAACACACACACACACACACACATCAACACACACACACCACACACACACACTCACACACACACACACACACCACACACACACACACACACACGCTGTCATAATAAAAGAAATTAACTCTGAAAAGGAAGCACAAGCAAGAGCCGCGCCTCTTCTTGAATTATACACATTATCTATTTAGTTGTTTTTTTTTAAACAAGATAAAAATGTTGGCAAAACGAACTTGTTGTTTAATTGTTAGATCTGAGTAATACGATCTAGGTCCATATATACATTACAATGGTTATATTTTAAGTAATAGGGATCTAGGTTATACGTATCAATGCAATATCGTCTTCTCTCTCTCTTCTCTCTCTCACTGTCTTCTCTCTCTCTCTCTCTCTCTCTCTTCTCTCCTCTCTCTCTCTTCTCTCTCTCTCGTCTCTCTCTACTCTCTCTCTCTCTCTCTCTCCTCTCCCTCCTCCCTCCCTCTCTGCCCTCCCTCTCCTCTGCCTCTCTCTTCTCTCTCTCTCCTCTCTTCACTCCTCTCTCTCTCTCTTCTCTCTCTCTCTCTCTCTCTCTCCTCTCTCCCTCCTCTCTCCCTCTCTCCCTCTCTCCCTCTCTCCCTCTCTCCCTCCCTCCCTTCCTCTCCTCTCCCTCTCTCTTCTCTCTCTCCTCTCAGTCTTTCAGTCTGTTTGTCCACCTTTTCAGAGAGACGCTCGTAAGAATGAGAGTTATGATAAAAGACGATCCATCACGGGTGACTTTGAGATGATAATGTGCTGGACAGGAACTGCGGATTAGCTGGATCATGAGCGCAGGCTGGCTCCATGATATCCTTCCGTCCTTTGTTATGATTTTTTAGATCGTGGCGCATGTCTATTGGTCCGCGGCAGATATCTCGGGCGAAATTCCCCGGATTAAAATCAGCTGATTTGGGTTGGGGGGAGGGGGGTGGGGGGGTTGTATTGTCGGGCGGCGGGTTGTATTTTGTCGTTTTGGTTGAGATTACCCTTGATTTCAGTCCGTGTGTGGTCTTTGTGGTCTAGATCGAACAAGAAGCGAAATCTCCACCGGATTCGGACGGAGTTCTGTTAACGTTCAGAACTTTGCGAGAGAGAGAGAGAGGAGGAGGAGAGAGAGAGAGAGAGAGAGAGAGAGAGAGAAGAGAGAGAGAGAGAGGAAGAGAGGAGGAGAGGGACGAGGGAGGGAGGAAGGGGAAAGAGAGAGGGAGAGAGAAGGGAGAGAGCGAGGGAGAGAGAGAGAGGGAGAGAGGAGAGAGAGGTGAGAGAGGGAGGAAGAAGAGGGAGAGAGAAGGGATGAGAGGAGAGAAGAGGGATGAGCGAGCGAAGAGACGGGAATAGAGAGAAGAGCAGGAGAGAGAGAGAAGAGAGAGAGAGAAGAGAGAGAGACGAGGAGGATGGGAGAGGAGAGGAGGGGAGGGGGAGAGGGGGAAAGAGAGACGGACGGAGGGGAGGAGGAGAGGGGTGGGGGAGGAGAAGGGGGAGAGAGAGGAGAGAGAATGGATAGGGGAGAGAGAGAGAAGAGGGAGAGAGATGAGAGAGAGGAGAGGAGAGAGGAGAGAGAGAGGAAGAGAGAGAGAGAGAGAGAGAGAGAGGAAAGAGAGGACAGAGAGGGAGAGAGAGAGAGAGAGAGAGAGAGGAGAGAGAGAGAGAGAGAGAGAGAGATAGAGAGAGAGAGAAGAGAGAGAAGAGGAGAGAGAGAGAGAGAGAGGGAGAGAGAGAGAGAGAGAGAGAGAGGAGAGAGAGAGAGAGAGAACTGAGAGAGATGAGAGAGAGAGTGGAGAGACTGAGAGAGAGAGAGAGAGAGAGAGGCTAGGCGCGCCCGGTTGCTCTTGGGTTTATTTGCTTCAAGTTTATTCATTGATCCGCCGGCATCGCCAATGGTGTTCCCGATAAGGAATATGCATTGATATTTACGGGGCGTTCCAGCCGGTCCGGACGCGGTTGCTGAACCAAGTCCTTAAAAACAACACCGTCTGCGCGAGGTTAGAAAAGATGGGTGGAGAGAAAGAGAAGGGGGAAAGGGAGAGAGAAAATAATGCGTGCGTGGCGTGCGGGTATTAGCCAAAGGGGCCGCGGCGCTGGTTGGTATTTTTAGAGGCGGAGGGGGTAGAATGATTCCCTCCTAAGCATGTGCAAATGCTGTGATAAAGGGGGCCAGTAAATTT